ATTTTAATTTAAAATATATATTTAACTATTTATTAATTATTTAATTATTTTATAATTACATAAGCAAAATATTTTTCCATTTTTGATAAAAATGATTAATCGGTATTTCTTTGGAAAACAAATGTGCAAGTAAAATATATATTTAACTATTTAATCTAAAATTAATTATTTTATAATTACATAAGCAAAATATTTTTCCATTTTTGATAAAAATGATTAATCGGTATTTCTTTGGAAAACATTTCAAAAAATGTGCAAGATGTATGAAAAATTGCACGAAATTATTTAAAAAATATACATAAACAAGAATATTATGAAAAATGATATAAAAATATTTTTAAAAGTAATATCTCCAATATGTGTAAGAAAGAATTTTATTTTTTAAATAGATATCTTAATTTCAGCCAAAAAATATGTAACATATTTAGAACAGAAGATAAGTAGTACGAACCTAAACAGGATCTACCGTCAGGACCAAGATTGAATCCCGGATGACATTCACATTGAAAATTGCCTAACGTGTTGATGCAGCGTCCATTTTGGCAAGGCGAACTTATGCACTCATCGATATCTTGCAGAATAAATCATAACGAATAATTATATAAAAATAATTTGTTCTCTATATTTTTTCGTATACTCAATTTTTTTTGATTTTATGAAATTTTGCATAATTTTAATTTAATTCTGTAAAATTCTCAAGAGCTTCATTAAACATCTCTTTTTTTTTTTTTTTTTTTGAAAGCTGTAGATTATTAAAACATTGAAAATTTGAAGAATTTGAAAATTCAGTATATTATTTTCGAAATTGTTAATTATATTGATGAAATTACCGATACAATGGCTCTGATCGGGGCCAATCCTGAAGCCGGAGTCACAGACGCATTTGAAGGAGCCCTCCATGTTGACGCACTTGCCGTTCTCGCACATTCCGCTGGTAGAACACTCGTCCATGTCCACGCAGAAAGTGTTGTCTCTTGAAGGAGTGAAGCCCGATTGACAAATACAATGATAAGATCCCGGCGTGTTCTCGCAACGACCGTTTAGACAGATTCGCGGATTTTCTACGCACTCGTTGATGTCTGAAATAAAAAAATTCGGACGGATTGTTATCATATAAATTAAAAATATCTTTCAGAAATATTCTTGACTACAGATATTTTAAACGTATTGATAATTCGCAAAATATATTTCTGAAATTTCCGACGAATTCTTCGCAAATTCTCATATAAAGATAAAGTAATGCCAGCGTAACATTTGTTTTACATTATTTTTCACCTATACAAGTATTTCTCGTCGGCGACAACGTGTAACCGTCGTTACATTCGCACTTGAAGGATCCGTTCATGTTGATGCAATGTCCATTGGTGCACATTCCGGTGTCTTGACATTCGTCGTGATCTAGAAAGACATTAATATCGTGTAATATCGTATGCCGTAGAAGTTACACTTAGTGATGTAAAAAAACCGTTTTTTTCATTGAAAAAAACAAATTTTTTTAAATTATTTTTTTAAATATAATTTTATTTTCCTTTATTATTTTTCTTTATATTTGTTTGTTAACATAATAAAAAAACTAAAGTTTTTATATTTTTAATTAATTTTTTTTCGAAAGTAATTTTAATGGATTAATGAGATACTTTTGCGGCAAATTATATCAAACTCGACATGATTCGGATAATTTTCAATTAGATGCGTAACAAAAATTTTTATTATGCATCTAATTGAAAATTATTCGAATTATGTCGTGTTTGATATCATTTTAACCGCAAAAATCGCATTAATCCATTAAAATTGTTTTCAAAAGATAAAATAAAAAATAAAAGAATTGATTTTTAGTTCATAAGATGCTTATATTCGTGAAATAGCCAATTGGAATGCAAGCTACATTTAAAATAATAATGGTTAATTCAAATCTATCATTTAAAAAGTTAAAAATAATAAAAAATAAATTTTTGCAGTAATCAAAATATAAAGATATTAAATACCTGAAAAAAACAAAATTTTGAAAAAAGGAAACAAGGCTTGTTGTTTTTTTTTTTTCTATTTACATCTCTAACTACACTATTGGAAAATGTGTGTTTTCTTGTTAAAAAATATGCTGCATGGTTAAAATTTTTGTGTTAAATATTTAATATATTCATGTGTTAATTTAACACATTGCTGTTGTATTGACTGAATTCAAATGTTAAATTATTAAAACAACTGAAAAAAGTGTGAAAATAACAATGTGCACATATTTTTAATTTTACACAATAGATATATTTTGTATTATTAGTAATAGAATTTATCTGTTAAAATTTACAGAAAAAAATATTGATTTTATTCTATAATAGTGGTCGAAGTGACTACAGACCGTCAATAACTTTTTTAATTTTATCATTAAAAATATATTGATTTTACACAAATTTATTTCAAATTACTATGAAGCATTTATTTTGTGTTGAAATATTAACATAGTATTAGTGTATAACATATCCATATTATGTGTAATTAAGACAAAAATTTGTATAGACTGATTGAGACATGCAATATACATATATTAAATCTAAATCAAATTTTCCAACAATATACTGTTCCTTCGTCGAGAAAAAGTAATCGGTTACCAGTGCAGTATCTGCCATCGCCGGAAACGACGAAGCCGGGTGGGCAGTCGCAGGTGAAGCTACCGGGTTGATTGTGACAGATCCCGCCCTGGCAGTAACCCAATAAACACTCGTCCACGTCTTCGCATCTACCGCCAGGCTTCCTCGTGAATCCGGGATAGCACTCGCATTCGTAGCCTTCCTTGGTATCGATGCACTTGCCGTCGCCGCATATGTCCGGTCGCAGCGCGCACTCGTTCACCTCCGTGATCGACTGCAGTTGCGAGCAAAGCCTGTTGTAATCGTCTACAATTGAGTAATAACGTGGATCCTGTAGAATTGCCAATTGTCGTAAAAGTGCTTGCTTTTATCTTAGCATTTTTGTCCATTTTATTTCTCTCGCGAGTCTAGAGTCTCTCTCTCTCATTCTCTCTCTCTCTCATTCTCTCTCTCTCTCTCTCTCTCTCTCTCTCTCTCTCTCTCTCTCTCTCTCTCTCTCTCTCTCTCTCTCTCTCTCTCTCTCTCTCTCTCTCTCTCTCTCTCTCTCTCTCTCTCTCTCTCTCTCTCTCTCTCTCTCTCTCTCTCTCTCTCTCTCTCTCTCTCTCTCTCTCTCTCTCTCTCTCTCTCTCTCTCTCTCTCTCTCTCTCTCTCTCTCTCTCTCTCTCTCTCTCTCTCTCTCTCTCTCTCTCTCTCTCTCTCTCTCTCTCTCTCTCTCTCTCTCTCTCTCTCTCTCTCTCTCTCTCTCTCTCTCTCTCTCTCTCTCTCTCTCTCTCTCTCTCTCTCTCTCTCTCTCTCTCTCTCTCTCTCTCTCTCTCTCTCTCTCTCTCTCTCTCTCTCTCTCTCTCTCTCTCTCTCTCTCTCTCTCTCTCTCTCTCTCTCTCTCTCTCTCTCTCTCTCTCTCTCTCTCTCTCTCTCTCTCTCTCTCTCTCTCTCTCTCTCTCTCTCTCTCTCTCTCTCTCTCTCTCTCTCTCTCTCTCTCTCTCTCTCTCTCTCTCTCTCTCTCTCTCTCTCTCTCTCTCTCTCTCTCTCTCTCTCTCTCTCTCTCTCTCTCTCTCTCTCTCTCTCTCTCTCTCTCTCTCTCTCTCTCTCTCTCTCTCTCTCTCTCTCTCTCTCTCTCTCTCTCTCTCTCTCTCTCTCTCTCTCTCTCTCTCTCTCTCTCTCTCTCTCTCTCTCTCTCTCTCTCTCTCTCTCTCTCTCTCTCTCTCTCTCTCTCTCTCTCTCTCTCTCTCTCTCTCTCTCTCTCTCTCTCTCTCTCTCTCTCTCTCTCTCTCTCTCTCTCTCTCTCTCTCTCTCTCTCTCTCTCTCTCTCTCTCTCT